ATAAAATCATAATGTCTCTGTTCGTAACCAAGCTGTGTCACGCGAAATCACACAAAGACAGACGAAATCTCTTCTGCACGCATTCACGCCAAAGAAAAAAAAACGAAAAAAGCAGCCCGCGACACCCCTGTTACTCACGTCCGTGGCTGTGCACATCGTGGCTCATGCTTGCTGGCTGGGCGGCATTGATTGAAGTACGGGGGTGGGGGTGGGAGGGGGGGCTGGGGTCAAATGCACTGATTGTTACAGTCGCGTGTGTGTGGTTATTGCTGTATATCTAGGGGTGGGCACCGCGCTGGTATGAGGGAGCGACTGCAATCGGGAATGAAACCGCCGCCGCCGCCGGGAATGTGCCGGCACGCAAAAAGAAACGTTGCTGTTTCGACGATCAAATAGCATCGATGTTTGCTGGGTCATGTTTATTACGGGAAAATTACGTTCGTCACTTTTTTCGCCAAATAAGACTTTCAATCGCCAGATTACTAATTTGTTCGCCATTGGCGAATTGGCGAGTGGGTAGCGAGGGCCCTGTATATATATATCAGAAGTAGATAATAGGGAATTCCCTATTAATTAGTATTATCAGAAGTTAAGGAGATAAAGGAGTTTGACACGGATTTGGAACCGATTTCACTACATTTTTGTCATACAAGTTCGATGTAAATAAAAATACAAATGTATACAAACATGAGCTTTTTTTGTTCACTGGTCCTTATTCTATCTTCCGGTAGTATTACAAACCGCGTAGCTTCCTTCGTTTTGACATAAATTGTACTTTTGCACGACATGGTTTTCACGTTATTTACCGTCGTGGGGCGAGGCCAAGCGGTAAATTCGCATACACAGCAGCTGCAAGGAGGCGCGACAGGGATCGCGGCTCCCGTACGTTATCTCGTGAAGAAGTTTTTGTTCGGCTAACAAAGCCGGGTGATGACGACGTTAACTCTCGCCTTTATGACATACTATTGGTGATGATAAGTAAGGTGTAAACACATGCGTTTGCCTGCAATTGCACAGTAACGGTTGCTATGTAAAACACATGTGCGAAAAGCTACAATCAGCTGGAGCGTCAATTTACTCATAACGATTCATATGTACACATCATTCCTCCGCGGGCGAAGCAGTTCAGATATTTTACCAGCGCAGCGTTTATTTAAAAAAACTGCGGGGTTCAACCATAAAAACAAGAGTCTATAGTTTCAATGTAAAATAGTTTTAATTTTTAAACCAAGCATGGGTGCAACGCAACTTAATTTCTAAGCGCATTTTCTGCACTCGGCTAGACTACGGCCTAAAAGCCCTGCCGCGCCTCCTTGCACTTGCAGTCGCTGTGTATGCGAATTTACCGCTTGGCCTCGCCACACGACGGTAAATAACGTGAAAACCATGTCGTGCAAAAGTACGATTTATGTCAAAACGAAGGAAGCTACGCGGTTTGTAATACTACCACCGGAAGATAGAATAAGGACCAGTGAACAAAAGAAGCTCATGTTTGTATACATTTGTATTTTTATTCACATCGAACTCGTATGTCAAAAATGTAGTGAAATCAGTACCAAATCCGTTTCAAACTCCTTTATCTCATTAACTCCTGGTATTATCTACTCATGATGAGTGTAGCTCTAGTACTATAGCCCGCGTTCATTAACGGGCAGGCCGTTAAACCTGGCAGTGGCTGCCTGGCCTGCTGCGCAGTGCCCGCAGCCGACTGGCAGCCTGGCCGCAGGCCTGCGGCAGTTAATGAACGTGGGCTATAGTACTAGAGCCACAGGCAGTTGGACCGTCTCAATAAAAAAAATTTATGGTAAATAAACACGAAATGTACCAAAGTCTTAATGTTTCTCTACTCTATTTCGCCTATAATCACAGGTCTGTAAATGCCAGTCAAATGCTCATCTGCAACACGCAAGTACACCGCACGCCCGCGCTGCATGTGCACAAACAACATGAATAAGAGAGCAGGTAGGAAAGCGCGATTGAAAAATTCGCTCAACGCTCGCTTCATTTCACACCTTCACAGCACAAATACACATCCAACAGCTTCCATCTTGGTATCCATGTGTACAGAAATGTTCAATTGTTCGAATTATAACGCTGGCCTTTGTTCATACCTACTCCCGCCAGAGATATCTTGTGAAATCCTGCACGAAATGTGCTCTCCGTGAAAATGTAAAAAGGACGTCCGAAAATCCCTAACGGCGCTACTTTCGAGCGATCGCTGTAGTTGTGTGTGCGTGACGTCATTCCCACGCACATTGTGCTTGGCTTGGCGGGCCTCGAAATGGAGCTCAGAGGCCGGCAGCAGTTCATCCCGGCATTAAATGCGCCGCCATTACTCGTGTATAAATAGACATGTCGTCCTCTTTACATTTTCACGGAGAGCACATTTCGTGCAGGATTTCACGAGATATCTTTGGTGGGAGTAGGTATGAACAAAGGCCAGCGTTATAATTCGAACAATTGAACATTTCTGTACACATGGATACCAAGATGGAAGCTGTTGGATGTGTATTTGTGCTGTGAAGGTGTGAAATGAAGCGAGCGTTGAGCGAATTTTTCAATCGCGCTTTCCTACCTGCTCTCTTATTCATGTTGTTTGTGCACAGCGCGGGCGTGCGGTGTACTTGCCTGTTGCAGATGAGCATTTGACTGGCATTTACAGGTGATTATAGGCGAAATAGAGTAGAGAAACATTAAGACTTTGGTACATTTCGTGTTTATTTACCATTCATTTTTTTTATTGAGACGGTCCAAGTGCCTGTGACTAGAACTATGATGAGTGATGATATTATATATATATTATATATTATTAATTATTAATATTATACTATTACTAGGCCTACTAGGGCTGAGAGGGTCTATGTCCCCCGGGGTACTACCGGAACATACCCTGGGTACGCCGTACGGTCCGGTATACCGGAACGTACCCTGGTACTATCTAATATGCCGGACCGTACCTCGCCTACTCCACTAACGGCGACGAGTCTAGGGAGTCGCCTACGCCTACTCCCTAACCCTAACACTAATCCTAACCCTAGCCATATCAAATATTGAAATAGTGACCAGGGTACGTTCTGGTATACCGGACCGTACCCAGGGTACGTTCCGGCATAGCCCGACCTAGCTCTAGTACTATAGCCCGCAGGATCGCTGCCGCAGGGCGCGAGGCCGCAGGCCGCCGGCGCGAGGCCGCAGGCCTGCGGGAGCGATCCTGCGGGCTATAGTACTAGAGCTAAGCCCGACCTAGCCCGACCAGGCTGTGCGACGGATTGTCTATACATTCTAACCCTAGCAATACCGTTTCTTGGAGCTAGTTCCGGCAGTACCCGGGGGGACATAGACCCTATGAGTATGAGTAGTACTAGGCGGCAGTAGGCCTACATTCGCTAACATTGACACTCTAAGTCTAACTCTTCTCCGATACGATGTAAAAAAAATCTATATTTGTCTACAAATATTACAGAGAAGCGCTTTATACCTTGTACGTTTCCAAGAAGAACTAAAACTTTCACCCTCAATCGATGAATCATTTAACATGCTCATCTTCGGTATTTTCAAACCAACAGTTTCTCAACTTTCAAAATTCAAGTATCTGCTGTTGCTTTTTGTTTACAGGTAACGGGGGTGTTGTGCACACTGGAAACTGCAATATTTCCCAGTTGGCGCTGGTTGATGAAAACATAAGACCTACGTATCGGCAGAAATATACCGGAATGGACCGAAACGCAGCACTGGGCTGTATATAGTTTATATATAATCAGGAGTAGATAATAGGGACTACCCTATTATCTACTCCTGATATAATACTAGCGGGATACCCGGCGTTGCCCGGGGAAATCAGTGGCGTTATACTCAGTTGGTGACCGCTTGGTTGAAAGGAAAATACCCCAAAAAAATCGAACTATCTATCTGTCCATGCATCCATCCATCCATCGCATTCCATGCCATCCCATCGCACCGCATCCCATCCCATCCTGGCCTATCCCATTCCATTCCATGCCATGCCATCCCATCCCATCGCATGCCATCCCATCCCATTCCAACAGTAAAAAATAATAAGAAATCAAAAGATAAAAGTCATATAAGAAAGTCAAAAATTATAAATAATAAAATGAAATTATATAGAAAATATTTGATATGTAACATACATAGGCTTCCGTGAAGTGTTCCCGTCAGTTTGCGCTATCATTATCACCTACCATAGTTTATTGTGGATTTTTACTAAACGTTTAAATGTGGTACAAAAAATTCAATTTTTAAATTAACGGTGAATACGGCAGAAGTACATACTAATCAGTCGAAAAGTAAAGAAACAAAGCATTTCCCGAGGTGGGATTCGAAACCAGAATCAATTGTTTAATTTTTAGGAGTCCGAACAGTGGCGTAGCTAGGATTTTTTCAGCGGGGAGCACTGTGGGGGCCTTACATTTTCGTTGGGGGGAGGGGCAATATATAACTTTTCTTTGTATTATACTGTTCTACAGTTCTAACGGCATTGTTTTTAATTGAATTTTTTTTTTTATCAAGCATGAATTTTCAGTGGGGGGCACCTGGGGGGCACAGAAAATTTGTGGGGGGCTCGTGACCCCCCAGGCCCCCTCGTAGCTACGCCCCTGAGTCCGAAGCTTTATTCATTCGGCTACTGGGCCGTTATTGTTATACACCATAGATTAATTCACACGTACGTGATGTATAATGTTAATCTGTACGCCATCTATTAATGAATAGAATTTTTATAAATTTCTAAACACATTCAATAAGAATTAAGAACCTTGGTTAGAATATTATATATATATACAGGGGTGTATCCAGGTTTTTTTCTGGGTGGGTCGTAATCATAATTTTTTGGACCTTTTCACAATGAAATAGCAGCAAGATGTGATTACAATGTCAATACAATCAGGGGCGTGTACGGGATTTGTACCAGGGGGATAAAGTGTACAATTAAACTATCATAATATTATTATGGCGCGAACGATTTGAGTTAAATTTCTAGAAATCTAAATACATATAAACACATGTGTTATCTATGATCTCTGTAATTCTTAAGTTTATTGAAGCGCGAGTGGTTTAATTAATTATACCAAGTATCTACGCGCGGTATCGCACAGGCTAATATGCGCACGGCTATAGGCGGTAATTAAGAAAGTGTATAATTCAACTATCATATGGCGCGAACGATTCGAGTAACATTTCTAGAAATTTAGATACATACAATTACCCATGTGTTATCTATGATCTCTGTGATTCTACAGTTTATTGAAGCGCGAGTGGTTTAATTATTTATAGCAAGTAGGCTATATATCTACGCGCGGTATCGCACAGGCTAATATACGCACGGCTATGGGCGGTAAGAAAGTGTATAATTAAACTATATATGCATATGGCGCGAACGATTCGAGTAACATTTCTAGAAATCTAGATACATACAATTATCCATGTGTTATCTATGATCTCTGTGATTCTTGAGTTTATTGAAGCGGGAGTGGTTTAATTATTTAAGTATCTATATACACGCGGTATCGCACAGGCTAATATAGGCCTACGCACGGTTATGGGCGGTAAGAATGTGTATAATTAAACTATATATGCATATGGCGCGAACGATTTGAGTAACATTTCTAGAAATCCAGATGAGACGGATCACCAGAGAAGTGTTGCCAAAAGGAGATGTTGATACCAACCGCTCAGCGCGGAGCTCGCGCGCAGTTCCGCGGCAAGGCGCACGCGACTGCGGGAACCGCAGATACACATAGACACATGTCTTAGCTATAATCTCTGTGAATTTTGAGCTTATTGAAGCACGATTAGTCTAATTAATTACTACGGACCATTGTACAGCGTACCCATACAGCGCTGTACTTGAGCGGCAGCGGTGTGGATCTATTTGGAAACAATATGGCGTCAAATCCTGGGTTGTCCCTAGAAAAGCGCACAGCCAATCCGCTTCCTCTCCTTGTTATATTTAGCTCCTTGGTCTGTTTATATGGATGTGTTTACATTTTGGTGCTGAGTCACATTGGACTATGGACGAACACGAATGCACGGACGAACACGAACTATGGACGTAAGCGGTGAGTACCGACACGTATGTGTCCACAGGCACTTGGAACGTCTAAAAAAAGGTTAATAAACACGAAATTCGCACATTTTTCTCTACTCTATTTCGCCTATTATTGTCGATAACTTGCTGTAAATGCCGTTCAAATGCTCATCTGCAACACCCAATTTAAGTCACCGCGCACGCACGCCCTTAAGTTAATAGCCCGCTTACATTGACGGCCGCCAGCGGCAGTCAATGTAAGCGGGCTATAGTACTAGAGCTAGCTCTTATTCTTAACCCGACCAGGCTGTGTGACTAACGTCAATACACCTAGGCCTATTCTATAGGGTATTCTAACCCTAGCAATACCGTTTCTTGGAGCTAGCACGCCCTTAGGCTTAGGCTTAGATACAATACTGTAACCCAACAAGAGTAGGGTTAATTACGCTCATAGGGTCTATGTCCCTCCCACACCACAGGCACAGGCACTTGGAACGTCTCAATAAAAAAAAATAATGGTAAATAAACACGAAATGTACCAAAGTCTTAATTAATGTTTCTCTACTCTATTTCGCCTATAATCACCTGTAAATGCCTGTCAAATGCTCATCTGCAACACACAAGTACACCGAACGCCCGCGCTGTGCACAAACAACATGAATAAGAGAGTAGTCATCTCTCTAAGTCAGTGAGTATGAGTAGTCAATGTATTCCGTGTAGTAGTCATGAGTAGTCAGTGTCTATGAGTAGTCATCTCTCATAAGAGAGTAGTCTCTCTTATTCATGTTGTTTGTGCAC